TGGTGTTCAAGTTGTAGTTAATATTATGGAAATTGAAGAATTAAAAAGATTTACACCGTATCAGGAAATTATGTTACAACATGCTAAAGAAGGTATTATGAGTTATTTTATCTTTGTAGATTATATGTATGTCTTTTTATTTAGTAAATCGTCAATTAGAATTTATTTCATTTCCAATTCGTGATCAATCTGTACATCAAGACAACCAACGTGTTCTTGATTTTTGTCTTGAACTTTGTGATCGTGTTAAACGAGGACAAGTTGTTCTTGTTCATTGTTGGTAAATAACTATTGAATAATAAGAAAGAAATAGAATAAATTTAGAAATGTATTTTAGGGGTGGTCATGGTAGAACAGGAACAATTATTTCAATTATGATTGGAATTTTATTTAATTTAAATAGTATAATTATTTATATATCTATGAAGTTATTTGATTAGTAAAGATCATTTTCTGTGTAGGTGAAGAAGCAATATCAATGAATCGACGTTTACATGATCAACGTATACGTACAAATGGAATTCCCAGTCCAGAAACTGGAGGTATTTATCAGTTTCTTTTTCTTCACTTTTATAAAATATTTTTTTGATAATTAATTTAGTACAAACTAGACAAGTTCATACTATTCTCGATGAGATGTATCACAAGAATAAGGATAACAATAAACACAATGCTTAAATATGATATTCACGTTAGACAAGATATTACGAAATATTTTATTGTGATATAACCATTTTTATTGATTTATTGTTTAATATAAAAAATGTAAAATATTTAATTACTCGTTTTGAATCAAAATGGTTCTGATATATAATTTCTGAAAGTAATTAATGATAGATTTTTCTTGTTCATTTCAGCATAGAAGCCGTAGTATTAGCAGTTGTCATACCTTAAAATAAATATTATAAAAATATTTTCTGAAGAATATAGCTTTGATTCAATGTTTATAGTAATCTAATGTTTTATTTACTAATATAAAGGTGATCATTTTACTTTCAATTTTCATCTTGTTAAAGAAAGTCATTTATAAATTAAATTTTCATTGAAAAATATCTTTGGTATCATTCAAGTCAATATTTCATTATAGTCAAAACATAAATGAAAATAAATAAATATTTACTATGACAGATCGAAATACAGTTTCTAACATACATACCAATTGTATTAGCTGTATATGATATTGGAACATTGTTTATATGCCATATTAACACTGGCACCACAATGGCAGTAATTACCATAATAAAACCAGTAGAACATATTATAACAAACAAAACAGCTTTTCTAGATAAAATATGTTCACTAAAAATAAAAGAAATTAATATTATTGAAATACTAATGGTAATTATAATCTCATATATACTTTACTACTCTCCTTGATGACGTAATCGGCACATGATAGAAATGCTCAGTTGCATTGTTTAATCCAGGTAAAATCTAAATATGAGTAGTTTATGTATTATATTAAATATTTTTCTTGTTAAATAAATGAAATAATAGATATAATGTGAATACTTTATAATTGTTATTCAATAGTGATTATTATTTATATTGTTAGGTGGTATCATCATCTATCTTCTTTCGTTCTGTTGTCACATATACATATATCATATATAGTGTGTTTCGTCATCTTCTTCTATGTGTTCTCGTTCTCTTTCATATCGCTTATGGATTTTTTCTCGTCTTGTACTTTTGATCTTCTGTTAGACATAATAGGGTGATGAACTATAATAGTTTTTTATTTACATTCATTTTCTATTCAGAAGATTATTGAATCCTATTAAGTTTATCAATGAGATAAAATTCTTACTTGCATATTGATAATTATCGTTAATATTAATCTAAATAGAAAAAATATAGGAACTCTTTTTGTCTATAGAAATGTTTAAAAAGGCTCTTTTTATAAAAAATCTTCAATATCGGCCTGTTGCTATATATATAAAGAACTGAGTTTATATTTATTAAAGAAATTGTTCAAGACACAATTTGTTTACCTTTTTTTTGTTTTATGTTACGAATGAATGCATCTTTCTTTTCTATTTACACTTCTGTAAATCATTAACTTGATGGAACTTGCACAGAAGAAGTTGAAATAAGTAATGGAAATATTAATTATTTGAAAGTGAATATAATAAAAGATGATAACAAAGATTCATGATTATAATTTGATATCAGGAGAATTTTCATATTGCAATACGATTCGATATATGTGATATTCAATACTCGAGAGTAAAATAATCCAAAACTGAAATAAAAATGATAGCTCTCATATTATAGTTAAATTTAGACTAATTTTACAATCTTTTTCTGTTTTATATTCTTAGGAAAGTTCTAAAGTTTAATTCTTATGATAAAGTATGACTATGATGAAATCTTATCTAAACAATAAAATACAATTTTACTAGATTGTTTCCTAGCTTTCACTTATTTAATTTCTGTTATACAAAGATTTTTAATTTTCTTTGATGATGTCTGTTAACTTCTATTTCTTTTGATGTTTTCATTCTCGATATTGGTTAATATATTTAATGCATCGGCAAGGAAAACATATTTTTCTGAAAAATGATTCATCGAAGTTAATTTCAAAAAGTGCAAATCAACAAGAATATTGAATGGAAAAAAAATACACTTTTGTATCTCTATTTAGAATAATTGAAAATAAGAAGGGAGAGGAATATAAGTATATCTCAGTATAAACATTCTTGATTTTCTTTTCTTTATTGCATTTGTTTGTTTGCTCAATTTCCACTACTTTTAGTCTTTGTAGAAAACAATACGATGATATTTTGAATAATATTCGAGGATTCTATACGATTTTATCAACATTATCAAACATTACACTATTAAGTGTAGAATAGTTAGACAAAATTTCGATATTGAATTCTTAAATATTGTTGATCTACCATTTGACTTTTTATCTATAGATATACAGGTACAACATCAAATACTCGGTGATATATATCATCAGTTGAGATCAGATTATATATATATATAAATATTTTCACAAACGAACGCTTCTCCAACAAAAAATTATAATAAATAGCGTGACTCGTGTCAATATTAGTTTGTTAATCTCGATTAATAAACAATCACAAAATATTTGAATCTTATATGGACTATTATTTGCTATTTACAATAGCATATTTTCTTGTCCACTCTTTTGCTGTTTTGTTGAATGTTTCTTGATCAGTCCGATAGAGCTTTAAAGCATCTTTGTTGAGTCCATGTTCGGGATTTGGATCTGTCAATAGCGAACATAATGATATTAGAAGACCTCGTATAGTTAATGCCGGAGACCATTGAGAATGTAAGATATCCAAACAGATTTCGCCTGTCATACTGATATTCGGGTGAAAGACCGATGTTATAAAACGAATTTCGGGTGGTTGAAACGGAAATTCAACAGGAAAATCAATAGTCAAGCGAAATCTGCCTCCAGCATA